TTGGTACAAAGATCCGAAACCAGAATTGGAGAGAACTGCCTGGGGGCAGACGTGGCGCTCCTTCCTAAGCCCTCCCTTAAAGAAGCTGATCCTGGAAAGGCTGACTTCCAAGAGAGAAGCAAAGGCCCAAAGGGGAACAGGGACAGCCTGGGATGAGGCAGGTAAGAGAAGAGAAAACTCCTGCTTCCAGCTCAGCTGAGCGTCCCCAGGCTTGGGAGCAACCGGACGGCAGCCTGGGGAGCTGGATGCAGCCCACAGCCCCGGCCCTGGACACGGTGAGAACGGACCGGACAACAGCGAGAGCTCCAGCACAGAGCAGAGAACGGGGCTGGGCTCCGACAGAAGCGGCAGAACAGACGAGAAGAGGAAGGCGGGGACGCCGCCGGGAAGAGCCTGAGCTGGTCGCTGCCTCTGCCCAGAGGAGGAGCACAGGCTGCATCCCCTCGCCTGACACCCAAACGCTTCGGGCCACCCGAAAGGAGCCTGCGCTGCCACGGGGCTCAGCTCCGAGCCGGAGCTCCTGCCGAGCCAGGGAGCAGAGGGGCCTGCCGCACATGGCCTGGGCTCTGCGGGGTCGGGAACAACCTCACACAGAGGCTGCTTGGCCGGGGTTCGCAGCCCTGAAGGAGCAGCGGCAAACGGAAGCAGAGCTGTGAGGGGATGAAGGAGCTGGGCTTGGACTGCAGCACCGCCCTGCCAGCCGCTCCCGTCCTCGCACCGAGGCAGCGCTGGAAGCGACAGGGCGCAACCGAGCCGCGTCAGGACGGCGGCCAAACCCCGAACCGTTCCTCGAGCCAAATCCAACAGCGAGGTTAGAAAGCGAGATTTCTACTTACCCCAAATCTCCACCTGCAGGAGAAAGGTTACAGGGGAGGCCCGGCCCGGCAGGATACTCACCGATGAGGAGCGACTAAAGGACCGGCTGCGGCGCCGCCTCCGCCTGTGCTTACGCCGGCTGCTTTTGCAGCTCCGGTAGCTGCCGTCGCGGTCCCGGGAGCGCCGGTACTCGTAGGAATGCCGGTACTCGGGGTCGTAGTAGGGCTCCCCTCGCTCCCGGCTGTAGTCGTTGCGGCGGTAGCTGTCGCAGTAACGGCGGTCGTAGGCCCTCCTGTCTGCCGAGTGGTCGTCGTAGCTGGGGAATGACATCGATGAGGGAATTGAGTGCACCCTCAGCAATTTGCTGACGACACCGAGCTGAGCGGTGCGTTGATAGGGTGGAAGGAAGGGATGCCATGCAGAGGGACCTCGACAGGCTGGAGGGCTGGGCAAGGGTGAACCTCATGAGGTTCAATGAGGTTTGCATTGGGGCCAGAAGAACCCCAGGCACCCGTAGAGGCTGGGAGGAGTGGGCCTGGGGGTCCTGACGGACGAGAGACTGAACATGAGGCAGCAGTGCGCTCTGGCAGCTCGAAAGGCAAATGGGATCCTGGGCTCCATCAGGAGAGGGGTGGTCAGCAGGGACAGGGAGGTGATCGTCCCTCTCTGCTCTGCTCTTGTGAGGCCCCATCTGGAGTCCTGTGTCCAGGTGTGGAGCCCTCAGTACAAGAAAGACATTGAGATGTTGGAAAGGGTCCAGAGGAGGGCGACTGAGATGAGCAGGGGGCTGGAGCACCTCCCCTATGAGGACAGGCTGAGGGAGCTGGGCTTTGTTCAGCCTGGAGGAGAGAAGCTGCGGGGTGACCTCAGTGCAGCCTATCAATACCTGAAGGGAACCTACAGCCAGGAGGGGAGTCAACTCTTCCAAAGGGCTGACAACAGCAGGACGAGGGGAAATGGATCCAAGTTGAGGGAGGGAAGATTGAGGTTGGATGTTAGGGGGAAGTTCTTCCCAAGGAGAGCAGTCAGGCCCTGGAACGGGCTGCCCAGGGAGGCTGTGGATGCCCCGTCCTTGGCCGTGTTCAAGGCCAGGTTGGACGGGGTCCTGGGCAACCTGATCTGAATGTGGATGTTTGGTGGCCCTGCTGGGCAGGGGGGTTGGAACTGCGTGATCCTTGAGGTGCCTTCCAACCCGGGTGATTCTGTGAGAGGAGGGGGATCAGGCATAAGGAACGGGGTGGGTTGGAGGATGAGGAGTAAGGAATCACAGAACGGGGTGTTGGATCACGCAGAGCGGTTCGGGGTGGCGGATCGAGGCTGTGGGCGCCCCAGCCCTGCAGGCATTGGAGGCCAAGCTGGATGTGGTGTGTGCTGGTTGGAGACCTGCACGCAGCAGGGTTGGAGCTGATGGTCACTGCGGGCCTTTGCAACCCAGGCCAGTCTGTGATTCTGTGGGTCTCTGAGTCTCGATGGGTCTCTATGTGTCCCCGTGGGTCCCACTGGGGGATCTGTGGGGCTCTAAGGGAGTGTGTGTCCCTATGGGGGGGGGATCTGCGGGCCCCTATGGGGGGGGATCTGCGGGCCCCTATGGGGGGGGGATCTGCGGGCCCCTATGGGGGGGGGATCTGCGGGCCCCTATGGGGGGGGGATCCGCGGGCCCCTATGGGTCTCTTGGCAACCCTGCATACAGCAGGGGGTTGGAACTGATGGTCATTGAGGTCCTTTTCAACCCAGGTCATTCTATGATTCTATGGATCCTAATGGCACCCTGGGGATCCCAATGGCACCCCGGGCTGGTGGTTGGCGACCCTGCACACACAGCAGAGGCTTGAAACTCAATCATCACCGCTCTCCTTTTCCACCCAGGCCATTCTCCCATTCTCCCAGCCACGAACACAACGCGGCCCAGAGCTCCCAAAAGCGGGCTGACCGCCCCCAACCCGAGCAGGGAACCCCTTCAGGGCCGCCCCCCGACCCCCCACCCACCTCCTGGAGCGGACGTGGTAGCTGCCCTCCCGCCGGTGCCTCCTCTCACGTTCGCTGCTGCTGGATCTCGACCGCCGCCTCTTGTGTTTGCGGCTCCTGTAACGCTCGTGGAAGCTGCCCCGGCTGCTGCGCTCCGACGAGCGGAACCTTCTGGAATGAGGCATCTGCAGAGAAGATACGGAGTTAGGATCACACAGGGAGGAAAAGCAGCGGGGCGAAGAGCCGTCAGGGCAAGGAAAGGGGGAGGAAACAGTCTGGGTTCAGGCAGGGGGTAAAAACTGCCCTGAAAACCCAGAGCTTCGTGTGGGAGGAGCTGCGAGCGCCCACGTGGGCCAGGACTGCGGCTCTGCGCTTCCCTCTGCACCTCCCATCCGTGCTCTTTAACATTCACAGCTCCAGAAGCATTCAGCTTCGCAGCTCTTTCACCTCCCCCCAAATAAACTCCAAATAAACCCCCAAAAACACCACCCCAGGAAACAGAAGCACTGGCAACAACCAAAAGAAGACAAAAGGCAGCTCGGGACGCCACCAATGCTTGTCCCAAAGGTTTGCAGTGCTTCCATCTCCCCCAAACTCCAAACACTGTCCTAAGGAACACAGAAGCACTGGGAAGAACCACAGGAAGACAAAAGGCAGCTCAGGACGCCACCAATGCTTGTCCCAAAATGCTTCCACCTCCCCCAAATAAACTCCAGATAAACCAATGCCATCCCAGAAGCACTGGGAAGAACCGAAGGAAAACAAAAGGCAGCTCAGGACGCCACCAATGCTTGCCCCAAAGCCCCTGCAGCAGCACTGCAGCCCCCTCAGTGATTGCTGCTAAACAAACAGCTCTGCTCCCCTACCCTTGCACTCCTCCACTCCGAGCACAGAGGTTCTATGGGATGTGAGGGGCAGAAACACCCTCTGCACACAGAGAGACGTTCAGGAAGCCTTGCAGACCTCACCCCAAAGGCAGCTCACAGCCCTGCACTGCAGGGGGGGACACTGGGGCCAAAAGCAATGAGAACCCCCCAGTAAATGTCGGCACAGCGCTGCATCCCTACGGGCAGCACCTCCCCCATTCCCAACCTGCGGAGCTCATCGCCATCACAGCACGGTTTGGGGTGGGAGGGACCTCAAGCAAAGAACTTTGTGATACCCAACCTCCAGCTGCCCTCCCTCGACGTCCAGCCATTCCCTGTCCTGCTCTCATCTCCCCTTCCCAAAAGCTGCCTCCCCTCCTGGCTGCAGGCTCCCTGTAGGTACTGAAGGCTGTGCCATCCCAGCACCAGAGCTGAGCTGAGAGCCTTTAATTAAATTATTTGCTGTGAGGTGCTGGAAGAGCTGCCCAGAGAGGCTGCGATGCCCCGTCCATCCCTGGAGGTGGTGGAGGCCAGGCTGGATGGGGCCCTGGGCAGCCTGGGCTGCTGTGAAACGTGGGGAAGTCGGCAGCCCTGCACGCGGTGTGGGCTTGGAGCTTCGCGACCCCTGAGGTCCCTCCCAACCCAAACCATGCCGTGATTCTGTAATTAAAGGCAGCCCCGCAGCCATCCGAGCGCTCAGCGGGGCGTTCCGCAGCTCCGGAACCGGTTTGGGGACGGTCGGCATCGCTCAGCCGTCGGGCGGGGCCAACACCGGCCGCTGCGCCGCGGCGTCACGGAGCGCCGAGGGCGGACAAGCCGGAATTCGGCCGCCAAACGAAAGCAGGGATCGAAGGGCGGGGAACGCCACCGGCCTGCGGCCCGCTCGGCCGATCCGGGCCCGCCCCGGAAGCGCTCGGTTTTCCGCCCCGCGGCCTCAGCGCGGAGCCGCCGTCAGACGCGGCGCGGCCCGGGATCCCCGCGGCCCAACCCCGCCCCGCCGCGCCTCGATCCGCACCGTCCTCGCAGCCAGCCCGGTGCGCTTATCCCACAGGAAGTCCGTGATGGCGGCCGTGGGCCCCCGGGGATCCCGGGCCCCGCTCCGGCTCTTCAGGCTCCGCCGCTCGGCCCGACCGCCGCCGCGCCCCGACCCCGCCGCCGTCGATCCGGGTCCCAGCAGGCCACGCACGACGCAAGACGCACGACGCACGCACGCAGGCGTGACGTCACGCGGCAGCGGCCGTAGGCGGGGCTGTGGGTTACATGTGGGCGTGGCCTCGCCTAGACCACGCCTACCACCGGCCCGCCCGCGCCGCCCCGCCCCGCCCCGCCCGCCGCGAGGTCCCGCTCCGCCACCGCCGCTGTCGCCGCCGCCGCCGCCCGGGCCTCGCTGCTCGGTGCCGCCGCTCCGGTGCCGCCGGAGCCTCTCCGCTGGCGGCGGGATCTGGATTCACTCAAGCTGAGGGGCGTGCGCAACAGGCGGGCGGCGGGCCGGAGCAGAGGGCACGGCGAGAGAACGCAGCCGGTGACCGAACCCCCGGGGGGCGGCGAGCGTGAGGCCGCCCGGGGCCGGGCATGTGCGGCGGGGCGGCGGGCAGGGCGCCTGGGCAAGGGCGTTTGAAGGAAACGTGAAGCGCGGCGGCGGCGGCGGCGGCGGGATGGACGCGGCACCGGGCCGGAGCCCCGAGCCCCGGGAGAAGCCGCCGGTGCTGGATGGGGAGGCGGCGGGGCGCGGCGGAACGGGGACGGCAGCCGGTGCTCCGGGCGCGGCCTCACCGGCGGAGCAGATCGTGGCGGAGGGCGAGGCGGCGGCGGCGGGCACGGGAACGGGCACGGGCACGGGAACAGGAACGGGAACGGGAACGGGCACGGGAACAGGAACGGGAACGGGCACGTTCGTGCAGCGGCAGCTCGGGGCCATGCTGCAGCCCGCCGTGAACAAGTTCTCGCTGCGCATGTTCGGCAGCCACCGGGCCGTGGAGATCGAGCGGCAGCGGGTGAAGTCGGCCGGTGCTTGGATCATCCACCCCTACAGCGACTTCAGGTGGGACCCGGGAGCCGCTCCCCCCGCCGGGCCTCGGTGCCGCACCGGGTCCCGATCCCGGCGCTCCGATCCCGGCGCCCGTTACCGCCGCCGCTGTCCGTGGTGCTGAAGGCGGTCCCGCCGCTCTCCGCCTCACCGGGGCAACAAGTGCGGGGCTCCCTCCGCTCTGCCCCATCCCCGCACCGGCGCCGAGCGGCGGCTTCCCCCTCGGCGACCGGTTCCGCCGTGCTTCCTGACCGAGAGCTGCGCTGAGCGCGTCCCCACCGCCGCCGCAGCCCCACAAACGACTCGGCCGAGTTTCCCGTGCCTCGTCCTCTCCCGTTCCCTCGGGGCTCCCCGGTTGGCCCCCCCGACGCGGAGGAGCCGAGGGTCGCCGGGCTTTGCTCCCATCCTCTATCTGAGGGTGCGGCCCCGCCCAGCACCGTGGGCTCCATCCCGGGAGCGGGGCCTGGAGCTCCGTGACACCGGGAGAGCGCGGGGACGACCGCGGGGGGAGGACCCGGGCGTCACGGGGATGTTGAGTCATATGGGGTGGGCGCTCCGTAAGGCGGACGAAGCGGCCGTGCTGCCATCTCCGTGACACCGGCGACGCCCCCAGCCCGACCCGCGGCCCCGACACCTGTAGCGGATCCGCATCCCCGCGGCACGGAGAGCTGCGAGGCCTCCCAGCCCCACCGAACGGCCCTCAAGTTGGTGACCCCTAAACGCTGAAGGTGACACGGAGCCGAGCGGGCGGGATTACGGCGCGGTTGATCACATTACCGGGAGACACGAGGCCGTGCAGCGCGAGCCGTGCCCGTTCTGACGCCGAGCGAAGGACGGACGCGCGCTGCCCTAAAGAGCTTAAGCCGAAATCTGAGTCAGGAGCTCCCGGAGGCGGCGGCGGCTCTGCTGGGGGGGGGGGGGTGGGATGAGGTTTTACTTTCCGCCCCCCCCGCAACGATCCAGCCGTGGCCCCCGGGGGACTCCCAGCTCCCAGCCCCTTCCTGGGGGGGGGGGGGGGAGAGGGTGGACACCGCGGGACCCCCGTGGTGCTGCGACTTCTTCTTCCCCCCTTCCCCCCCCCCCCGCCCCGCTGCAGAGCAGAGATGTGGGACGCACGCACTGCTTTCCTTTTGGGATCCCGAGGTGCGTTCAGCCGTGGATGGGGATGCAGAACATCAGCACGAATCGGGCTCGGACCGAAGGCTGCGTGGGGTCCATGCAGACCCCCCCCCCCCAATCCGAGTCCCTGTGCCACCCCACAGCTCCTGCCCTCGTTGCCAGCTGAGCTCTCTCTAAACCCCTCTAAGCCCCGAGCTCTCATTTTTGCGACGGGTTTGGGCTCCAACTTTGATCCCGGATTTGTTCTCTCACCTCATTCCGCAGGTTTTACTGGGACCTCATCATGCTGCTGCTGATGGTGGGCAATCTGATCATCCTCCCCGTGGGCATCACCTTCTTCAAGGACGAAAACACCCCTCCCTGGATCGTTTTCAACGTCCTTTCGGACACTTTCTTCTTGGCCGACCTCGTCCTGAACTTCAGAACGGGCATCGTGGTGGAGGACAACACGGAGATCATCCTGGATCCCCACACCATCAAAATGAAATACCTGAAGAGTTGGTTCTTGGTCGACTTCATCTCCTCCATCCCGGTCGATTACATTTTCCTCATCGTCGATCTGGAGACGCAGGTGGACTCTGATGTCTACAAAACAGCCCGCGCTCTGCGCATCGTCCGCTTCACCAAAATCCTCAGCCTGCTGCGCCTGCTGCGCCTCTCCCGTCTCATCCGCTACATCCACCAATGGGAGGAGGTGGGACCCCCCCCCCCCGAGGGTCTCGGACCCCTTTTTGGGGGTCCTGCTGTCGGCCGGGGATCCCCGTGGGGGCACAGAGGGGGACGGACGTGTTTTCTCTGCAGCTCCTCTCCCTCCCCTTTCCCAGATCTTCCACATGACGTACGACCTGGCCAGCGCCGTGGTGAGGATCTTCAACCTCATCGGCATGATGCTGCTGCTGTGCCACTGGGACGGCTGCCTGCAGTTCCTGGTGCCCATGCTGCAGGATTTCCCCGAGGACTGCTGGGTCTCCATCAACCACATGGTGGTGAGTCCCCAACGCTCCGAGGCTTGGAGCCGCCCCCCGTGGCAGCAGCGGGGCGGTTTGAGGCCATTCACAGAATCACAGCATCACAGAACTGCAGGGGTTGGCAGGGAGCTGCAGAGCTCATGCAGTCCAACCCCCTGCCCCAGCCGTTCCTACAGCAGTCGCACAGCTCGGCATCCAGCAGGTCTGGAGCATCTGCAGAGCAGGAGACTCCAGCACCTCCATGGGCAGCCTGTTCCAGTGAGCAGTGGGACCATAGAGACACGTTGGGACCCATAGAGACATGTTGGGACCCATAGAGACACGTTGGGACCCATAGAGACACGTTGGGACCCATTGGGACCCATAGAGACACGTTGGGACCCATAGAGACACGTTGGGACCCATTGGGACCCATAGAGACACGTTGGGACACGTTGGGACCCATAGAGACACGTTGGGACCCACTGGGACCCATAGAGACACGTTGGGACACGTTGGGACCCATAGAGACACGTTGGGACCCATTGGGACCCATAGAGACACGTTGGAACCCATTGGGACCCATAGAGACATGTTGAGACCCATAGAGACATGTTGAGACCCATAGAGACACGTTGGGACCCATTGGGACCCACAGAAACACGTTGGGACCCACAGACTCCCCCCCTCCCTGTTCCATCGCTCCTCCCCTCACTGCACAGCCGTTCCTTCGCACATTGCTGCACAACTTCCTGTGCTCCATTTCCGGCCGTTTCCCCTCCTCCTGTCTCCACTCCCCACTGCAAACAGTCCATCCTCGCCATGCTGCCCCCACACCTCAGATATTCACAGACCTGGATCAGGTCCCCTCTCAGCCTTCTCTTCTCAAGGCTGAACAGACCCAGCTCACTCAGCCTTTCCCCATAGCAGAGATTCCTTCGTCCCGTTTCTATCTTGGCTGCTGCTGGAGTTGGATGAAAGGAATTTCACGTCTAAGAACCCCCCACAACCCGTCCTGAGCAGAGCTGTGCCCTCAGCTTGCATCGAATGCTTTCCTTCCCTTGGATGCTTGGGGGTCCGGGCTCTGAGGAGGGGCACCGGGGGGGGGGTGGGGGGCTCAGCTCCTTCCAGCTGCTCCCTCTCCTTGCAGAACGACTCCTGGGGGAAGCAATACTCGCACGCTCTGTTCAAGGCCATGAGCCACATGCTGTGCATCGGCTACGGCCAGCAGGCGCCCGAGGGGATGACCGACGTCTGGCTGACAATGCTGAGCATGATTGTGGGCGCCACCTGCTACGCCATGTTCATCGGCCACGCCACCGCCCTCATCCAGTCGCTGGATTCGTCCCGCCGTCAATACCAGGAGAAGGTCAGCAAGGGGGGGGGGGGGCTGGGCTGTGTCCCCATCGCCGGGGGCTCCTTTGGTCACGACGGGGTCAAGAAGGCAAAGTGCAGCTTGCCCGGCCTTGGCGTGCGCTCAGGAATTGGGGAGGGCGGCGGGACGGACGACGTCGAGTTCGGGGGCAGCGTTGATCTCCAGAGGGATCTGGGCAGGTTGGATCGATGGGCCGAGGTGACCCGGATGAGTTTCAATAGGGCCGAGTGCGGGGTGCTGCATTTGGGTCACAGCGACCCCAGGCGACCCTGCGGGCTTGGGGAGGAGCGGCTGGAAGCTGCCTGGTGCACAGGGAGCTGGGTGCGCTGATGGCAGCGGGCTGAAGGCGAGCCTGCAGTGTGCGCAGGGGGCCGAGAAACCAACGGCGTCCGGCTGGGATCAGGAGCGGCGAGGGGAGCAGGGAGGTCGTCCTGCCCTGCGCTCAGCGCTTGCGAGGCCTCAGCTCCGGCGCTGGGCTCAGGTTGGGCACCTCGGTACGGAACGGCCGTGGAGGGGCTGCAGCAGGGCCAGAGGAGGGCGGCGAGGCTGGGGAAGGGCTTGGAGGAGGTGGGCCGTGAGCAGAGAGCGAAGGAACGGGGCTGTTTGGTGCGGGGGAGAGGAGGCTGAGGAGACCTGGCTGCTCTCTGCCAGCGGCTGAAGGCGCCTGCGGCACGGCGGGGCTGCGCTCTTCTCCCCGGTGACGAGGGAAACGGCCTCCGTGGCCGGGGGAGGTTTGGGTCGGGCATCGGGAAGGAGAACTGCTGTACAGAAAGGGTGGCGAAGCGCCGGAATGATGGGCTGCGTGGGGAGGTGGTGGAGGCGCCGCGGCCGGGGTGTTTGCGGAGCGTTTGGATGCGGTGCTCAGGGCCGGGGTTGAGCAGAGGGCTGTGAGGCAGGGCAGGACGGGCAGCTGCGTGCCGGACCCGATGGTTTGAAGGTCTTTTCCAACCTGGGGGATTCTATGATTCTGTTCTATGGGGAGCTGTGGCGGGTGGGGACACATTGGGATGGTGGTAGGACAAGGGGGAATGGGTGTAAAGTGAGACTGGGAGGTTGAGGTTGGATATGAGGAGGAAGTTTTTCCCCCAGAGGGCGGTGAGGCACTGGCACAGGTTGCCCAAGGAGGCTGTGGATGCCCCAGCCCTGCAGGCATTGGAGGCCAGGCTGGATGTGGCTCTGGGCAGCCTGGGCTGCTGGTTGGAGACCTGCACACAGCAGGGTTGGAGCTGATGGCCGTTGTGGGCCTTTGCAACCCAGGGCATCCTATGAGTCAATGATTCTATGGGTCCCTATGGCACCCTATGGATCCTTATGGCACCCTATGGGTTCTTTGGGCAGCCTGGGCTGCTGGTTGGAGACCTGCACACAGCAGGGGTTTGGAGCTGATGGTCACTGCGCTCCTTTGCAACCCAGGCCAGTCTGTGATTCTGTGGGTCTCCATGAGTCTCAGTGGATTCTATGAGTCTATGGGCTCCCAGTTGGGTTGGGATGAACCATGGGTGGAGCTGGAGCTCACCCAGTGTAGGGGTGAAGTCCTGCCCTCCGTCCTGGGGCTGAGCTTTGGGGTGGGAGCTGTGGGGTGGGCATCTCCCGAGCCCCATCACGGCGCCCTCATGCCGACGTGCTCCATGCTGTCCCCGCAGTACAAGCAGGTGGAGCAGTACATGTCCTTCCACAAGCTGCCCGGGGACACCCGCCAACGCATCCACGAGTATTACGAGCATCGCTACCAAGGCAAGATGTTCGACGAGGAGAACATCCTGGGGGAGCTCAGCGAGCCGCTCAAAGAGGTGCAGGATTGGCCCTTGGTGGAATACAGGGCTGTGGGGTCGCTGCTGGGCCGGGCTGCTCCACGCTGAGCTGCTCCTCGCCTTACAGGAGATCATCAACTTCAACTGCCGCAACCTGGTGGCCAACATGCCGCTGTTTGCCAACGCTGACCCCAACTTCGTCACCGCCATGCTCACCAAGCTGCGCTTCGAGGTCTTCCAGCCTGGAGATTTCATCATCCGTGAGGGAACCGTGGGCAAAAAGATGTATTTCATCCAGCACGGGGTGGTCAGCATCCTCACCAAGGGCAACAAGGAGACCAAGCTGTCCGACGGCTCCTACTTTGGGGGTGAGGGGATGACAGAATCACAGATGGTTTGGGTTGGGAGCTCAGGGGTCCCGAAGCTGCGACCCCACAGCGCCTGCAAAGCCCCCGACCTGCCCACGTCTCACAGCAGCCCAGGCTGCCCAGGGCCCCATCCAGCCTGGCCTCCAAGCCCTCCAGCGATGGACGGGGCATCGCAGCCTCTCTGGGCAGCTCTTCAGCCCCTCACCGCTCTCCCAGCACACAACTTCCCTGACCCCCAGCCTCCAGCTGCCCTCCCTCCGCTTCCAGCCGTTCCCTGCTCTCATCTCCCCTGCCCAAGAGCTGCCTCCCCTCCTGGCTGCAGGCTCCCTGCAGGCTGCACTCAGCTCAGCCCCGGCTCCTCTTCTCCGTGCTGAACGAGCCCAGCTCCCTCAGCCTGGCTTTGCAGGGAGCTGCTGCAGCCCCTGCTCAGCCCTGCGGCTCCTCTGGCTCCTCTGCATCAATACGGGATGTGAGAGCAGAGGGAAATGGGAGGCATTCTGAACACTAAGGCTGTGTCTGTCCGAGCTCCTGGCGCTTCTCTCTGTGTCCGTGAAGCAACGGGGGGCTGCCGGGCCGGTGCTGAGCCCCTCGTCCCCCCTCACCCCCACATCCCTCTCTGCAGAGATCTGCCTGCTGACACGGGGCAGGCGGACGGCCAGCGTGCGAGCCGACACGTATTGCCGCCTGTATTCCTTGTCTGTGGACAACTTCAACGAGGTGCTGGAGGAATACCCCATGATGCGCAGAGCCTTCGAGACCGTGGCCATGGACCGCCTGGACCGCATAGGTGAGGAGCTGCCCCAAACCCCTCCGTCTGCTCCAGAGGGGTCCAGCGACAAGGAGGGGGGTTGGAACCCAACTGCAGTGATCTGCTTTGCTGCCAGGTGGGATCTGGGCTGTGCTGGGCTGTGCTGGGCTGTGCTGGGCTGTGCTGGGCTGTGCTGGGCAGTGCTGGCAGTGCTGGCAGTGCTGGGCAGTGCTGGGCAGTGCTGGGCAGTGCTGGGCAGTGCTGGGCTGTGCTGGGCTGTGCTGGGCAGTGCTGGCAGTGCTGGGCAGTGCTGGGCAGTGCTGGGCAGTGCTGGGCTGTGCTGGGCTGTGCTGGGCTGTGCTGGGCAGTGCTGGGCTGTGCTGGGCTGTGCTGGCAGTGCTGGGCTGTGCTGGCTGTGCTGGGCAGTGCTGGGCTGTGCTGGGCTGTGCTGGGCTGTGCTGGGCAGTGCTGGCAGTGCTGGGCTGTGCTGGGCTGTGCTGGGCTGTGCTGCTCACATTTGTGCTGCTTGGCATCGTCCCACTGCTCGTCCTCATCCCCCTTCTCCTGCTGAGGACAAACGGCCCCAAGACGCATCCTGGAGCTCTTGGGACCGGGGCTTTGCTCCTACTTCTCCCTCAGTGCTGAAGCCGGGACCCTCCCCAAAGCCTCCACCCCTAAACCCAGTGAAGATTCCTCGCTCCTCCCCTCCCCACCCCCAAACGGTGCCTCCGATGGCAGCGCTTTGCCTCACTCGCACCAACCGCTTCTCCCCCAGGCAAGAAAAACTCCATCCTGCTCCGCAAGCGCGCCGAGCACAGCGCGGGGCCCATCAACACCGAGATGATCCAGCAGATCGTGAAACACGACCAGGACGTGGCTCACAACATCCAGGAGCTGCAGCAGATGACGTTGGGCCGGGAGCTGAGCGGCAAACCGGTGATCTGGGAGCCTTTGGTTCACGCACCGCTGCAAACGGCCGCCGCCACCACCAACGTGGCCATCGCCCTGACCCACCAACACAGCCTGCAGGCCCACATCTTCCTGCCTCCTTCCTCCATCTCCAGCCCCCTCTCTCCCGAGGCCACGCTGCTCACCAAACCGGTGCGTCGCTCCCAGCCCAGCCTGGGGGGCTCTCGGCCCTCCTCCGTCAGCTCCCCATCCGGGGCTCCGTCCCACCTGCAGACGCCCGCCGCCGCCTCTCCGTCTTCGCCCATGCTGCAGTCCCAGGCGCCCCTGGAAAGCGGCGTCCAGCGGCCGGGGGCTCAGGGGAGCCTCGGGGCTCAGGGCCCCCAACGCGTGGGGCAGAAGGGGGAGATGGCGGCCAAGCAGCCCCCGGCGGCGGCGGCCCAACCGCAGCTCTCCAAGTCCCGCGGCGCTTCCGTCTCCACTTCTCTGCTGCAGCAGGCGGCGGGAGCCCCTTCCCCCAGCTCGGAGCCGCCGGCGGGGAGGACTCTCCATTACAGCCTGTCCAGAGCCACGGGTTCCCACATCTCGCTCCTGATGCAGCCTCAGCAGTTGGTGAAGCACCGGAGCATCCACGGGCTGCCCGTCGGGCGGCTCACGCAGGACGTCCGCCTCCTCTCTGCCTCGCAGCCCTCCCTGCCCAATAAAGTCGCCCAGCAAGCAGACGGGAGCTCCTTGCAGCAGGGCAGGAAATCCGCGGGGAACCTGGCCCGCAGGTCTTCCCCTTCGGTCTCCGGACTCCTCTCCAAGCCGGGTCCGGGGGTCCCGCACCCGCAGCAGATGCCTTCGGGATCCCCGGCGCAGCCGAACCGCCCCGCGGCCGCGGCTCCCGCCCCGCAATCCCCGGTGTCGGCGCCCCGCCCGGCGGCGGCTCCCTCCCGTAAGGGCTCCGTGGCCTTCAGCCCTGAAGTGGAAACGGGGAAACCCAAACTGCCGTCCAACATGTGAACCCCGTGGGTACGGAGCGACCGGCCGAGACCCGGCGGCGTCGGAGGGGCGGGGAGGTGAGCGGAGCTGCGGCAGCGCCGGGTTTTTGAGGAGGGGGCTCTCCTTTGGGACTCTGCTCCATCGCCGCCCCTCGAGGCCCTCCTGCAGGCACAGCCCTCACCCCAAATCCTTCGCGGGGTCCCAGCTGCCCGCAGGTCTCCCTCAGAGCCGGGACACTCCGTGCGTTCCCCCGCACCCGGGGTCGGGGTGATGCCAGACCCACACATCCCCTCCTCCAGCCCCAAGGAGCTGCCCGGCTGGTTGGGACGGGAGGGGCTGAGATCAGAGGGGGTCGGGGAGCAGTGCCTGCGGCCAGGAGGGACCGGGACCCCCCCCCCCGAACACACCGGGACCGCGTGCCTGGAGCCGGCGGTCCCGGAGCAGCGAGGCGCCGAGCCGGGGATGGGCGGCTGCTCCCGGTGCGGCTCCTCCGTTCCGTGGGGCCGGGGATGCGGCGAGAGGCACCGAACCCCACATCCGACCGCCTCCCCCCCCCCCCCCCCCCGAGCCGACAGCCAGCAACGTGTGAGTGTGAATCGTGGCTCCGTCGAGCAGCTGAGCTCCGCTTCGTCGTCGCTTTGGGCTCCGCCGTGTTAGCAGTCCCGATTAGAGCTGTGTTCCCAGACCCCCCACCCCCCCCCGCGCTGCTTTCGTTGCGCTCCGGGGTTCGGCAGCCGCTCAGCGGCCCCACGCAGCGGGTTGGGGTCGCGTCCCTCCGCGCGCTCCTCCTCCAAACTGAATCCCCCCGTCGCCCCCCCCGCACCGTTTGCGATGGGGCAGCGCGGTGGGAACCACGCGTGTGGCAGTCGGAGGGGGCGTCCAACACTGCCTTTTTTTCACGGACTTAAATCCTCCTCCCCCTCCCCAAAATCCCATCCAACTCCCCGTTCCCTGATCTTTCTTTTTTTTTTTTTTTTTAAATTATTATTATTTATTATTATTTTTTTGCTGGTTGTACATAATGGGTTTCCATAATAAAGAGAGATTCAGAGCCGGGCTGCGGAGTCTCATTCAGAGCGGGGGGGGGGGGGGGGTTGGAAATGGGTCCCATCGGGTCCCAACACCTGCAGCACAGAACACGTAGAGACCCCCGGGGGGGCGGGGGGGGATTTGGATATGGTGGGGGTCGTCCTCACTCAGCCTCGGGTAAAAGCTGAGCAGCTGTGCCCCCAACACCCCCTAAAATAACCCTAACCGTAACCCTAACCCTTAACCCTAACTCTTAACGCTTAACCTTAACGCTTAACCCTAACGCTTAACCCTAACCTTAACTCTAACCTTAACCCTAACTCTTAACCCTTAACCCTTAACCCCAACCCCAACCCCAACCCCCCCTTCGCAATTTGGGCTCCGGGGATTTTGTTTAACCTGTGGTCATCTTCCCCTTCTCCCTTTTAACCCGGGGCGGGGGGGGGGGGTCGGTAGCGCTGATTGCAGAGCGGAGTTTCAGCACCGCGGAGATTAACGGAGGTCTCGCGGGGGGGGGGGGGGGGGGGGTCGGGGGGCTCCGCTCGGAGCCGCTTAACGATCTCGCTCTGATTCGATTATTCGATGACAGCGAAGAGCTCGGAGCCAAAACCGACGGTGCTGCCCGAAACCCACGGGGCGATGCCGTGGAAATGCCATCCACCCCCCTCCCCCCCAAGTCCATCCCTTCATTCCCCCCCTCCCCCCTCGGCGGTTCGGGCCGCTCGGAGCCCCCCCACCCCATCCTCGTGCTGGGGGGGGGGGGATTAACACGCGGCACTGCTTGATTACAGCGGCAATGGTTGAGCTGAGCGGATTACGGCGGCTCAGCACAGCGCCAATGGCGGGGGGGGCAAAGGGGGGTGGTGGTAGCGGTGCCGCCCCTTTTGGAGGTCCCCCCGCTTTGGGTGACCGCCCCCCATCCGCCCCCACGGCCCCGCGGCACCGACCCCACCCGCCCCGCGCCCCCGCGTCCCGGCCGGGCCCTCGCTCCATTCGCTCTCTCCACCAATCACACGCCTCGGTCCCGCCCTTAGAGCTTTGCTATTGGCTCAGCCTCCTTGGACCCATCCTCATACGATGGAGTTCTCCAATTAGCGCACACGCCAGGTGCTCCAGGCACCGCCTCCTCCCCGCGCGTGGCACGCTGGGAGTTGCGGTCTGACGGCGGCGTTACCGCGCCGCGCCGCTTCCGTTGAGAACTACGAATCCCAGAATGCCCCGCGCGGCGCCGGGCGGAACGCTCGGAAAGGTCGCGGGGCAAGAAGAGGCGCAGAGCGGACGGGGCTGAGCGCGTCGGGGTCGCAATGAGCGCCGATGGGGGGAAGCGGGCGGCGGCCGAGGGGGAGCGGGAGGAGTTCGTGCGGTTCTTCCCGCAGATCGTCCGCGATCTGACGGAGGAAGGGATCGGGCATCCGGAGGTGGGCGACGCTGTGGCGCGGCTGAAGGAGGTGAGGATGTCGGCGGGGTGGGGATCGGTGGGTGTTGGGATCGTGGATATTGGGATCGGTGGGTAACCGGGACAGGCAGGTACTGGGACCAGCGGGTGGTGTGTGCTGGGATCAGCAGGTACTGGGATCGGTGGGTACCGGGACCTGTGGGTACTGGGAGCAGTGGGACGGGCAGGTACCAAGACTGGTGGGTGCTGGGATCGGTGGGTACCGGGACCCGTTGGTTCCGGGATTGGTTGGTACCAGGATCAGGAGGGACTGGGACCGGTGCGTGTTGGGAGCAGCAGGTGCTGGGTTCACTGGGTACTGGGACTGGTGGTTACTGAGATCAGTAGAAACTGGGACCAGGGGGTAACAGGACCGATGGGTGCTGGGTTCAGTGGGTGCTGGGATCGGTGTGACCTGGGAGCAGCAGGTACTGGGAACGGTGTGCAATGGGATCAGTGGGTACTGGGATCACTGGGTGCTGGGACTGGTGTGCCCTGGGAGCAACAGGTATTGGGACTGGTGTGCAATGGGATCACTGGTGTGCAATGGGATCAGTGGGTGCAATGGGATCAGTGGGTGCAATGGGATCACTGGTGTGCAATGGGATCAGTGGGTGCTGGGATCACTGGGTGCTGGGATCACTGGGTGCTGGGAGCAGTGTGCCCCGGGAGCTGCAGTTATCAGCTCTGCCCCCACTGACCGCCCCTCCCCGCAGGTTCTGCAGTACAACGCTCCAGGTGGGAAATGCAACCGAGGGCTGACGGTGGTGGCTGCGTTCCGGGAGCTGTCGGGGCCGGGGCAGAAGGATGCTGAGAGCCTGCGGCGTGCTCTGGCCGTGGGTTGGTGCATCGAGTTGGTGAGCGTTCAACCGAAGGCTGTGCTGGGGTCCCTCCGCCCCCCGGCAGCCCCCCAACGCACCCCTTGCAGTTCCAGGCTTTCTTCCTGGTGGCCGATGATATCATGGATCAGTCCCTGACGCGCCGGGGGCAGCTGTGCTGGTATAAGAAGGTGGGAGCGGAGGGGGCTGCCCTCAGCCTGGGGGGGCTGCAGGGCTGGCTGGGCTGTGACCGTTTCGTGCCCCCCCCCCGGTGCAGGAGGGGATCGGTTTGGATGCCATCAATGACGCCTTCCTCCTTGAGTCCTCTGTGTACAGAATGCTGAAGAAATACTGCGGGCAGCAGCCGTATTACGTGCATCTGCTGGAGCTCTTCCTGCAGGTGAGGCCCCCCGGACCCCCCGGCTTTCCTTGGGGCTGACCCACCTCAGATCTCAGGCTTCTCCTCCAGTCCTGGGCTGTGTCCTCCCTCCAGGCGTGGGAGGAGCCGAGTTTGGGCTGGAAGTGGAGGGTTTTGTTGTTTTCATGGGGATTGAGTGAAAAAACCCTTCCTCTTCAGACCGCCTACCAGACTGAGCTCGGGCAGATGCTGGACCTCATCACAGCTCCCATTTCCAAAGTGGATTTGAGTCAATTCAGTGAGGAGAGGTAAAGAAACCCAAGGGGATGGCAGTGCTGGCCTGGCTGTGGTTGGCTCTGCTTGCTGTCCCTTCCAGGCTGCAGAGCAGACAGGCGGCTCCCAGCTCACTGCTGTCATCTTTGGGCAACGAACCTCATTCAGTGTCAGGACCCGGTGGTGGCTCAGAGGGAGACGCTGCCTTCCTCCTGTGCTGAGCAGCAGTTCGAGGGCCTTTCCCACTGAGCACCACCCCCCACCACAGGTACAAAGCCATCGTCAAGTACAAGACTGCCTTCTACTCCTTCTACCTCCCCGTGGCTGCTGCCATGTTCATGGTGAGTTCTGCAGGAAGGGGTCGGGCTGCCAACGCTCGGCGCCACTCCGACCAGCAGGGCGGCTGCTGCAGAACATAAAGGGGGTAAAAAAAGGATGCTGAAAGCTTTTTGGTTTTCCCTCCCCGTTCTGAGGTTGGGATCGACAGTAAGGAAGAACACGAGAATGCCAAAGCCATCCTGCTAGAGATGGGGGAATACTTCCAGATCCAGGTAGGAGACCTCCCTCCCCTCACCCCGCGTGTTGCCCAGCAGTGGCGGGGCTGAGCTTCCCATCCCTGCGCAGGATGATTACCTGGACTGCTTCGGGGACCCGGAGCTGACGGGGAAGGTGGGCACAGACATCCAGGACAACAAGTGCAGCTGGCTGGTGGTGCAGTGCCTGCAGCGCGTCACACCGGAGCAGCGGCAGCTCCTGGAGGTACAGCGCAGCCCCCATCACAGAACCACAGGATGGCCTGGGTTGCAAAGGAGCGCAGCGGCCATCAGTTCCAACCCCCTGCTGTGTGCAGGTGGCCAACCAGCAGCCCAGGCTGCCCTGAGAACCCATAGGGTGCCATAGGGATCCATAGGGAGCCATGAGACCCTACAGGGTGCCATAGGGACCCATAGAATCATTGACTCATAGGCTGGGTTGCAAAGGAGCACAACGGCCATCAGCTCCAACCCCTGCTGTGTGCAGGGTCACCAACCAGCAGCCCAGGCTGCCCTGAGAACCCATAGGGTGCCATAGGGATCCATAGGGTGCCATAGGGACCCATGGTGTGCCATAGGGACCCAAAGAATCATGGACTCATAGAACGGTCTGGGTTGCAAAGGCCCACAACAACCATCAGTTCCAACCCCCTGCTGTGTGCAGGTCTCCAACCAGCAGCCCAGGCTGCCCAGAGAACCCATAGGGTGCCATAAGGATTCATAGGGAGCCATAGGGATCCATAGGGAGCCATTAGACCCTACAGTGTGCCATAGGGATCCATAGGGAGCCATAGGGATCCATAGGGTGCCACAATCATAGAATCATCACAGAATCCTAGGATGCCCTGGGTTGCAAAGGCCCACAACGGCCATCAGCTCCAGCCCTGCTGTGTGCAGGTCTCCAACCAGCAGCCCAGGCTGCCCAGAGCCACATCCAGCCTGGCCTCCAATGCCTGCAGGGCTGGAGCATCCACAGCCTCCTGGGTTGCCCTGACCCCGCTGCTGCAGCACTTGGCCTTATTGAACCCCAGCATACAGAGCTGCAGCGGCCCCACGCAGCCCCTCGACCTCCCTGTGTTGTGTTTGCAGGAGAATTACGGCCGTAAGGAGCCCGAGAAGGTGGCAAAGGTGAAGGAACTCTATGAGACCGTGGGGATGAGGGCTGCGTTCCAGCAATACGAGGAGAGCAGCTACCGGCGCCTGCAGGAGCTGATTGAGAAGCACTCGAACCGCCTCCCC